TTTTTATTTCAGTTGGGTCCATTGTAATGTCCCCCATTTCATTTCTTATTTGCGTTATTTGTATCCTCTCCTGTTCTTCTGTTGTCAGTTTGGCCAATGATTTGTTGATTTTGTTGATTCTTTCAAAGAACCAATTCTTGGTTTTGTTAATTCTTTCCATTGTTTCTCTATTCTCTATTTCATTTATTTCTGCTCTGATCTTTATTATTTCCTTTCTTCTGGTGGCTGCGGGCTTCTTTTGCTGTTCTCTTTCTATTTGTTCGAGTTATGTAGCTTATGTTTTGATTTTGTCCTTTTCTTTTTTTTTGATGCGTGCATCTATTGCTATAAATTGATTTCTGAGCACTGCCTTTGCTGTGTCTCAAAGGTTTTGGTATGGTGTGTTTTCATTCTTGTTTGATTCTAGGAATTTTTTGATTCTATCTTTGAATTCTTCTATTATCCAGTGGATTTAAGCAAGGTTTTATTCAGTTTCCACGTATTTGATTTTTTTTCCTTGCTATTCCTGCTATTAATTTCTGCTTTTATGGTGTTGTAATTAGAGAAGATGCTTTGTATTGTTTCAGTGTTTTGGATGTTGTTGAAGGTTGCTTTGTGGCCTAAGATGTGGTCTATTCTAGAGAACACTCCATGTGCATTGGGAAGAATGTGTACTTTGCTGCTGTTGGGTAGAGTATTCTATATATGCTTATGAAGTCAAGTTGGTTGATTGTGGCCTTTAGATCTTCTGTATTTTTGTTGAATTTGTTTCTAGATGTTCTGTCCTTTACTGAGAGTAGTGTGTTGAAGTCTCCTACTATTATAGGGGAACTGTCAGTTTCTCTTTTCAGTGCTGTTAGAGTTTGTTTTATGTATTTAGGAGCCCTGTCATTGGGTGCGTAGGTATTTATTATGGTTATGTCCTCATGGTGAGTTGCCCCTTTAATCATTATGTAATGTCCTTCCTTGTCTTTTTTGGCGGATTTCGTTTTAAAGTCTATTTTATCTGAAATTAGTATTGCCACTCCTGCTGTTTTTTGGCTGTTGTTTGCTTGATATATGTATTTTTTACCCTTTGATTTTTAATGTATTTATGTATTTGTTTCTATGGTGTGTCTCTTGTAGACAGTATGTTGATGAGTCCTATTTTTCTATCCTTTCTGTCACTCTCTGTCTGTTTATGGGTGCATTTAAGCCATTTACATTCAGTGTGATTATTGATAGGTGTGAGTTTATTGCTGTCATTTTGTAGTGCTTTTTTTGTGGTGCTAATGTTTTCTTTGTTCCTCTTACTCTCCTATACTGAATTCCTTTTATTTGTGGATTTTTTTTTCATATCTTTCATTTTTGTAGATTTTGTGTTTACTGAAACTTTATTTAAACCAGTCTTTTATTACTTGATATTGCCTTGACTTCCCGTCCATCTGAAAGTTCTATTCCTACATCAGTTATTCCCTCTTTTATTGTTCTGACATTATTGTCACTTACAGAATGACCTCTCTGGTTCCCTGTTGTAAATCTTTAGTTTTGTTTAATCCTTGAGAGTTCATTACCTAGGTTGCTGCTCTCCTGTGTCCTAGATTCAGGATGTTGTTTCTCTAACTGAAGGTCTCCCTTTAATAATTCTTGTAAGTTTGGTTTGATTTTTACATGTTCCTTTAATTTCTGTTTATCTGAAAATCTCATAATTTTGCCATCATATTTGAATGACAGTTTTGCAAGATACATTATTCTTGGTTGGCAATTTTTTTTCTTTCAAGGTTTTATATACGTCATCCCATTGCCTTCTTGCCGTCGTGGTTTCTGTTGAGTAATCAGAGCTTAGTCTTATTGTTTCCACTTTGTATGTGACTTTTTGTTTGCAACTGTTTTTGTTGTTGTTTGCTTTGTTTGGTAGGAACCAGAGCTTTTGCCCTGCACTTGTTCTCCCATTCAGACTGTTGCACCACTTGACTCCATCCCCTTGCTCCAGTCTTTTATCCTTTCCCCAAGACTGACTAGGCTTAATAAGGAGAGACAAATAGGATTATTGCTAGATGACTATGAAGCAGGGGTGGATTAAGCAGGAGGCAAGGTATTCCCGGGCTTACATTAAGCAAGGTATTCATGGGCTTAAAAAAGATGTGGTGAAACCTGTGTTAAATTATACACTGCAGATTAGTAAGTAAACACAAGTACGCCGATGAGTACCTTGTTTAATGTAAGCCTGGGCATACCTTGCTTATTGGGTAATTCATCCCTGCTCTGAAGTTTTTATCTCTAGAGAGGCCACAAGCTAGTTGGGATTGAAAATTTCCCTTCCATCTAACAGGACAGTCTGTACAAGGCTATCAGCACTGACATGCAACTCCCTTGGGCAGCTGGCTTCTAGCTGCAAGATGTTTATCTCCACTAGTGTGACCACTCTTCCATCTACAAAAGCCTCCGCTACCATATGCTTAGTGTGGGCTTCCTGACCCTTCCAAAACCCCTATAAAAATCAGCAGGAGCAGGGGAGCCCCCTCAGAGAACAACCCATAACATGCCCCGCCATGCTCAGCCTAAGCACCTCCATCCTGGGATATGAGATACAGGATACCTCCTTCTGCTGTCCATCTGCCTATGATTCCTTGGCATTTTCTTGAGCCTCTTCTTCAATAAATGGCTATGTTACAGCCAATGTGTAGCACAGTATCTTAGACACAGTAGCTGTATGCATGAATGGTCTTATGGGGAGAAGCAGAGGTACAAAAAATGGAAGCTTTTAAAGAATGTACACATTCATAAATTGGAGGACAGGAACTATAGAAATAGTGTGTGTGCCTAATCAGCCGATAGGAAAACATTTATTATGAATTGTTCCACCCCTCCTTCCTTGGTAAGAGTTAGGGTGAACAGAACTAGCTTTACATATACAGTTTTTATTGTGTGTTATGGATTGAATTGTCTCCACACAAAATATGTGTTAGAATCCTAACCTCTATACCTGTGGATGTAATCCCATTTGGAATAGGGTTTCTTTGTTATGTTAATGAGGCACTATCAGTGTAGGGTGTCCTGAACCTAATCACTGCTGAGCCATAAGGAGCAGCATAGACAAGCAAGCACAAATGGTGTAGATAAATAGATAGATGTCACATGAAGATCATGGAGGAACCAAGGACTGCTGGCTGCTGGAAGCTGAAATGGACAAAGAAGGACCGCCGCCTTGAGCCACACTTTGAATTCAGACTTCTAGTCTCCTGAACAGTGAGAAAATAAATTTCCATTCTTTAAAGCCACCCACTTGTAGTATTTTTGTTATATATATATATCTGTAACAAAGACTCTTAAGACACTCAGCAGCACTAAGAATCTAAGACCCTGTATATACTGGTTTTACATGTACAGATTAAAATATAAAATGTTACAAGTGCTATATTAGTAGTTCTCCAGAGTACAAGGGGGGCTCAGAAGAGGGACTGGTCAAGTCTACTTGGGAAAGTCCAAAGAGATGCCATAGGGTGAGCCTAAATATCTATGGAGTAACAGTGGGGGATAAAAATGCCAGCTTCTCATGGTGGTCATAAAGAGCAAATAAAATTAGAAATAAACTCTTCCTAAAGGAATTTATAGTTCAGTAGGAGGAGATCAACAGATTACCTTCCTAGTTCCCTTTCTCCTGAGTGTGAAAGAATACACTGCAGCTTGAAGTTGATAAGATACAGACTTTTATGTATCATAGCCAGATAAAGAAGACACGCTGGTTGCAAGTTGTTTTTATCATGCCAGTCCTCTTTGCCTTCTTCTCTCCACAATGGTGGCATGGTGGGAAGAGGACACCCAGGGAAACAAAGATTGCAAGCCCAAGGTGAAGGCCATACAGCTATGGGGAAGATGGATTTAGGGGCAAAGCGGGGAGGAGCAACTGGAACTGTGCCAGAAGTGGCTGAAAGTTTGCTAGCAGCCAAATGCTATTATAATCACTGCACCACCAGGGCCCCAATCTGGAGTTAGGATATAATACATATTATTGAAGGCAAAAATTCCCCGATTTTAAAATACAAGCTATGCAGTGTGAAAATTTTTTGATATGCGATCTCTTGTTCATTTCAGTTTTTAAAAAGATAGAAATAAAGAGAATTGCAAAGGCACCCTAAAAGAGATTTAAAAAAATAAGTTGTAGCAAACTCGGGATAGAAACCTTTGTGATTCATCACTTCTGCAGGGCAGAACATTTAAAGAATTGAAGTGCTTATAATACTGGGAGCTGATTTTAACAGCTATTGGTCATTTAGAGACCTTTTTAAAACTTTCACTTTTAGTGTGAAATGCTTGATATTTGAGAAATATTGCTCTACATAGTTGCTGGAAGAATGATTTAAGATACATTTTTTAAAGTATTTTTGTAATAGATATAATATTTAATAGGTAAGATGTGTAAATTTATGTCAGATGAATAAATGAAAATAATTCTCATTAAATTTAACATATGTACAGTCTAGCAAATCTCTCTTGAAAATTAAATGTGCAAATCATAATTAATGACAAGTGCTTATTATAATGCACACCGTTTTTTTAATGTTAACCTTTTTTATTTTTAGCAGAGATCATGTTACATTAACTTGAATATAGTTTCGTTATTTAGTGGTGAAGCAAGACACAGACAAATTTTACAAGCAGAGTTTTGATCACTTAATACAGTGAAATTGTAATTCCAAGTTACAGAAATGTTCACATATATTCTTTTTTAAGTAATGGCAATATACTGATGACAGTAAGAATTGACAATAATTTCCAGTTATGACATTTATCATGAACAACTCTGAATTAGGTAAAAAAAAAAAAAAAACACAACGAACATGATGACCCTTATTATAATTCAGAAAGAAAATAATTATGCTTGCGATAAGTGTATTTGTATGTATATATGTGTGTATATGTATATGTATGTGTGTATGTATATGTACATATATATATTTATTTATGATATTCAACCCAAATTGACAATAAAAAGGAGTACATTAGGCATATTACCATGCACTTATGTTATCAGTGTGCCTTTATGGGATTAAACAGTTTCAAAACCTAGAGCTCTAGGCAATTAGAGTAAGCAGAGTCTTTCAGTCTGTTTAGCCATGGAAAACCGGTTACCTCTAAAGAACTAGTATGTTCCCTTTGTACAGTATATAAATGAGCAGATTGTCACTTTTAGATCCATGTTTCTAAACTGAATTTAGGGAGATCCCTGAAGAGTGATGGGGGACCTCCAGCTGTGGAGCTTCAGCAAATCTTTCATTGACTCTTGGCTCACCAATTATCCCCTCTCTCAGCAACCACATGAAGTGTTCTTATCACTAGGCTTCTTCCCAGTCCTTCCCTTCCCACACCTTCTTAACGACTGACTTCTCGTGGATGAACTACAGTGAGAAACACACAACCTTCTTTCCAGTCCTGCCTCCTTCGGGGTGGGAAAATGGAGAGAGGGAGTCACTGCTAAATGGGCAAGAAAATGCAAGTAGTTAACAGTATATATATGTATATAAAACCAGCTAAGAATTATGAGATCAAGAAGGGTATTGGTTGTAACAAAAGGAAAAGACACTCAAAAGAGTCTTTAGCTTATAATCTTAAATTCTCTAAAAAAAAGTCAGTAGTGAGACACAAGGTGATCGAAGCAGGACCTGAATCAGTGAAAGAAGGTGATGACGTTCTCAGTTAAGAACTCCACATTACTTTTGCTTCTGAAAGAATGAAACTAGCTACGCATGTTCCTAATGTTACAAATGGAACAAAAAGGGTCTGAGAGTTTTATTCACACGGTTCATGTTCTCAACAAGAATACAACAGTAAATGAAGGTAATTTGGAATATTTTCACCAGTTAGGCAGACTGTCTTCTAAGAATCGAGTTTGATCAAAGTTTTCTTCTTCAGCTGCAAGAAAAAAAAAAGCATAAAATGAAAACACATCCTACATTTTAAAAGGAGAAAAGATAAAAATAAAGAGAACCTTAGGAAAAAAAAATTTAGTCCTCTAAATTATGTTAACTCATGCACTCTGCTACTGAAAATCCAAAAAATTGGATTTTGACTGATTTGGTTTAAACATTTTTCCCATCAGCTTAGGACACAATAGAGCATTTGCACTGACATCTGAATCTTCATAAGAAATGAAAATATGCTATGGTATGTTTAGGAGAAATCTGAGAGGGCCACGTGTCTTGCTCTGATAAGTATGCTTCGTGCCTAAAACATCCACCATTGGAATCATTCTCTTGCATCAAGGTACTGTCTCTCTATAAATTTCATGCTAAAGTGCATCTTATATAGGAAAGATGACATAGGAACACCTTTGTAACTATTCCTTTATTAGGTGAGCTAGAGACAAAAAGAAGGGACACTTATTAGCTTGATGGGATTACAAAGCTTCAGAGCATGAGATACCACAGCTGGGAAAGGGGTAGCTAAAGAGCAAGATGACAGCAGGTTCCTAGAGCCCTAAGAAAGGGTAGAAGGCTAAAACCTACAATGCCTTGGAAGAAGGGGCGGCTAGAGGCAAGTGTATCTCCCTCTAATTTTCTCCAAGATCCTCTTTATATGCAACCACATTCCCTCAGTTAATTACAATATAATCTGAGTGTCTGGGTTACATTTTAGCCTGAATTGCAGGCACATTGTGAGATATTATAGGTAATAGGCTATTCTTTAAAGGGAAGAGAAAAAACTCAGCAAGAAAGTCAGCCTTGTACTCCACTGAAATAAAAATCCACTATACGATGAGAGCATTCCAAATAATAATCTAGGGACTTCAGAACTGAAATACTAAAGGAGACTAGTAATTAATATATCATTTAGGAACCCAAAGCTTTTCCAGAAATTTGGACTAGTAAAATTGGATTGCCTCATTTCATCATTGAGATAAGCCATTTAGAAAACTTCAATAATTAAAAAAATTATGTTTTCTAAAAAGGATTTAAAATGGGGACCTATAGTCTCATCCTTCCCTAAAACTTCCAGTGAAAATTGGCTCTTTGCCTCTTTAAAATTAGCTCTTTCCTCTCAGTTCTAGCTCACTGTCCCTTCTGGTTCTGCACATTTTCCTAACAATCAAATCTTCAACTTCACTATCAACCTATCTCCAGCAGAGCTCTCCGCCTACAGGCTTCAAATATGGATGTTTTTGTTGTGTACTGTAAAGTCAGTTTTGATTCATAGTGACCCTATATGACAGAGTAGAACTACCCCATAGGGCTTCTCCCAGAGTGCCTGGTGGGTTTGAACCAACAGCCTTTCAGTTAACAGTTGAGTCTTAGCCATTGCACCACCAGGGCTCCTTCAAATATGGATTAAGTGTTCCAGATCTTGAATTTGAAAAGATCACCTTGAATGCAACATCCTCTTCCCACTAGTCAACTATTTCTCATCTTTATTCATTGCAAGAGTTCTGAAAATGAGAGAGCCATGCCAGCTTATCAAAACAGTAGTACCTGCTTTTTCTTAACTCTGCACTTTACCTTCTTGTCCCAAATTGCCTCTAAATAGTGTTTCAGAAAGGGCACAACAACAGCAGATCATGTCGTGTCGGCTGGGGGTGGGGGT